GATTTTATAAAATTTGACATGAAAGATTTTTTTATATTATAAAAATACATTATCATATTATGCATGGTCAAAGTCAATTACATGCCTATTGTATGCAATTATACTTTCTAAAAATAAGATTATTTTTACAATTATAATTAAGAACTTATTTTAAAAAAAACTATAATGGTTGTAAATTTAAAATTTTAATTTAAATTCTTTTTTGAACTTCTTACATATACTCTTATATAAACATCCTATATTATGAATTATATAAACTTCTTCAAATTTTATTTATTGTTAAATACTATAGTCATTTAATTAATATATTATGAATTATGAATTATATCCTATATTACATCTTGTGTAATGAATTAAATAAACTTCTTCAGATTTTATTTATTTCTAAATATTGTAGTCATTTAATCAATAGATTGTATATATAGAGAGTTGTTAAAGCCACACTTTATATTACCATCTCAAAATCAATTCTATCCATTCTTGTCTCTAATCCTTGATTCATGTCCCTCATCTCCCATTTCCAACCCTTATGTCTTATTCTGTATTTCCATCACTTGTTCCATGTCTGCCAAAATTAATCATCACATGGTTTGGAGATGTGGCTTTAGCAACTTCATTTATATATATATATATATATATATATATATATAAGATTATCAAAATATTATATTTTTGATGGTTTATTTATTAATTAAAAAATCACTTTATAAAAGAATTATCATTTATAATTTTTAAAATAAGAATATATATATATATATATATATATATATACCTTTAATTTATATGTTATTTAATGAAGTACTTTATTTTGTATTAAGATTTTTGAAAATATCTTCTAATATGTAAATTACAAATATTAAGTTGTTTTAATATGATAGATAAAGAAATATGTTTTAGGATTTAGGATCTAGGCCAAAAATAAAGAAAATATATTTTTAGTAAATAAATTTGTATAAAAATATGATTGGCAAAGGCTATAGAGAGGGAAATTTTTACTACTCAATTATAAGAAAATTAATGAAGTAGTAGTAGCTATATTTTCTTAGTTTCTATTAAATTAAGATAATTTTGATATATGAAATTGTTGTCTGGGCTACCTAAATGTGAAAAACATGAAAGGACTCTAATCTATAATAAGTGGCTTATATCTTGGCAAAATAAGCCAAAATATAATACAACTTGCATGTAAAGGATGCATATAAGACAAATAATAAAATACCTTCTTCATAAGTGGTGTAGCAAGATATGCTGCAAAATTGTTGGAAATTATCTATTATGATGTATGCAATCCTATGAAGACTACAAATATGGAAGAAACAAGGTCTTTTTTTTAGTTTCATTGATGATTTTTCAAGAAAGTTTTGAATTTATATTCTTAAAGCAATGAATGAGTGCTTTTAGAGATTTAAGAAGTTTAAAACTCAGGTTATGAAACAAAGTTATTCTAAAATCAAGATGTTGCATACAAACAATGGATGTGAATATATATCTAAGCAACTTAATATTTATTTAAAGAATAAAGGAATTGCTAGACATATCAAAACTTTATACACTCCATAATAAAATGGTGTTGCTAAAAGATCAAATTTCACTATTATAGAGATGACAAGGAACATGTCTTATGCTCAAAATATTGATGAGTTTTAAAATCAAGCCATTGCCAATGATGTTTATACAAAAAATAAGTGTCATATAATTGCTCTTGCATCAATAATACCATAATTAGCTTAGAGTTAAAATCAATCTTATATTTCATATATGAAGACCTTTAAATGCATTACATATACAAAGATACCAAATTATATGAATTCCAAATTGAATACAAAAGGAACAAAGTATATATTCTCAAATTATTATAAAAGTAATAAAGAATATAAAATAACATGTTTGGATAGAAAAATAATCATTAAAATTTGTAATGTTGAATTTTGGAATATAAGAGTACTTATGAGTATTTATGAGTATTTATGAGTATTTATGAGTATTTATGAGTAATTAGAGATATATTTAGGTAGTAATAAAAGTATGTTTAGGAACATTCTCTAAAAAAAAAAAAAAAAAAAAAAAAAAAAAAGATGATGAATCAATGAAATGAGATGAAGAATCTAACACTTCTAAAGATAAGACTTTATCAATTTGAGAGACCAAAATAGAGGATTTAGAAGTATAAGGAGATGTGGTATATGATGATCGACTTCCAATTAAGAGGAGATATTTTAAAAGAATGAAGATGCTTGTTAGAGACAATAGAATTCAATAAGACCAAATTTTATTCAAAGAAGGAAGATATTCCATGAAAAAAAAAACCACTTAGTCAATAATGAAAGAACCACATCTTTCTTCAAGTAATTAAAAAACATGTAAGTGTTTCTTTTATGTTGATTCCTTGTATTTTTGTGATGCCATGAAGTTCCAATTCGAAATTAAGTAAGAGAAGGCCATGCAAAAATAGTGCAAAAATAGTATTAATCTCTCATAGTCAATGTTACATAGAAATGAGCTTCTCTTCCAATAAATAAATTTAATATTGGTTGTAAATGGATCTTAGGAATCAAAAGAAATATAAATGATAGAAAATAGACAATAAAGTACATGTTCTTTATTAAAATAAGAGCCATCTTACAAAATTATAAGAAAAAACTCACTATTGCAATATCAACCGTAGAGGCTAAGTAAATAGCAAAAAACTATTATGTAATAGAAGAAATTTGAATAAATTTTTTTTAGAAGATATTAGACTTGTACAATTACAGATATTTCTAAATTTGTGTGATAATTAAGAATTTCATGCATTGCTAAAAATCAAAACTACTATTCAAGAACTAATCACATTGAGGTTCAACATCATTTTTTAAGAAAAAAATGAAAATGGTGTAATATGTATAAATATTGTTTTATAAAAGGTATGTTTGTTGTTGTGCTTACAAAGTCATTAATAATGTGTAGATACTATAAGATTAGAAAAACATTAGAATTGTAAGTCATTTAACAAGTAACAAAGTGGAAGTATTAATGATCAAACCTTGGATTAGTCACCACCACTTAGAATCTAAGCTTAATTAATTGTTAATGGTCAAAAGGCAACCAAAACTTTTGTTAAGTTATTAGGATGAAGATAATTGTTTTGATAAAAATTTATCTATATTAAATATAATCCATCATCTAGGGCAAAATATGATGAAGATGATTGTAGATAAAGTTCATTTATAACATATATATTTTTCTACTTATGAATAAAAGGGTGTTGAAAAAGAGAGTCATTTTATTCCACACTTCTTTTTTTATGCAACCTTGCTAATGTTAAATATTGAAACTTCCAACTTTCTTTTCTTCAATAAAAAAACTAGATTCTTTTATCACATGGTACTTGACAAAACCATTATTGAATACAAGATTGAAGGTTTTAAGAAAAATAAAATCAAAATCACAATTGGTTTTGATTGAAGAGAGATTTTGTTATTAAACATGTTGCAAAACCACTAATATTCAATTGGCAAAGTAGCAACCAAGTTAGGTTTTATTATCTAAAAAATCAAAAAGCTTTGATAATTGATTTTTTGTTTAAAGAATGACTAATGTTTTTACAATAATATACAAATGGTTGGCATAAAACTGTTGCTTCTATTAGACAATGTTCGAATACATATTAAAATGGAATTAGAGTTGACAAACATTGAACTATTGACACTTCTTATAAATACAAAATTAAAGATCCAATCCATAGATGTAGATATTGTTGCAATATTTAAGAGAAGATATTGTTGTTATTAACTTATTGAAAAAATTGAAAAGGATGAATGTCAAGAAGTAAATATATATTTATCATGTTAATTATCTAGTTGCTATGAGATGGACTAAAATAGATTGGAATGACATTTCTTCTGAAACAATTGCAAATTGCTTTTTTTTATTTTATTTTTATACCAAATGTTTAAAATTATGATTTTTTTTGAAGATTCACAATTTATAATTAAATTTCATGAAGATCAACCTAGAAAGGAACTTGAAGAAGAAATTAACCAGCTTTTACTACTCTACTATATGTCAGTTGATAATATGCTCAATTATATCTAAGAAGCAGAAATTGCACTCAAGGAAATTTTAGACAAAACCATACCATAGTGCAAAACTTTCTTCTACACATTCAAATGGAACTTTGCATAGCAAAACAAAAGCAATCAACACTGGATTCCTATTTTAGAGCTGCTTCTAAAAATTAATATCAGTTATTAAATATCAGATATATTAATGATCTGCTATGCAACTGCATCTGTTTCAAGTTAAAGTATTAATTGTTGAAGAATATTAATTTTGGAAGAGTTGATTTCCAGAGGTTCAATCATACATTGAATTTATCATCAAACAAAAAAAATCATCAAACAGATACACAAAACACAAACGATTTGATTCAATTTTTTAACCACAAGAAACAAGAGTGTAATCTATTTATTTTAGAATATTTTAATTATATATACATATATACATATATATGTAATCACACACATACACACTTCCTATGATTATTAATATTTGTGCTTGCATTTGAAAATACCACATGTATATACCTATTGTCTTTTTGTTTGTGTATATAAAATTTCTTCTTACAAGTTGCCTATTTACATAAACCAAATATAACAGAACAGAATCAGGCACTATAAGGAAAAAACCAAGTGAAGAATACGAAGGAAGAGTTTCCAGCAAATAACATGATTTTATAACCCTAATTCCATGAAGGTTATATGTTCCATTTTAAATGAACGTAAGAGGTAGCAAGACCATCATCTTTTGAGGTCTCGATGCTTGCCAGCGTGGAAAGTTTTACTTTCCAACCAAGAAGCTTTTCCTTTTTCAGATTGAGGTGTGAATGCACCATTCGCAGCATGTCCGCAGCGCTGAGTTGGCGTTCAACTTGTATTCTGATATTTAAGAGTCCACGTATGCCGATGCTGTCCACCTAGGCAGATGCGTAGGCGCGGTGTGAATAGGCCCCACCATCGTTCTGAATGACGAGAGCTTCGCCACTAACATTCGGATCCTGTGTTCGTCTCTAAGCCCTAATCATCTGTGGGTTTGCTCTGTCTCGTGGAAGGAAGTCGAGACGAGCGCTTGGAGATCGTAATTGGTGTTGTTTCGGCTTCAGGTCGCAGGTACTCTCCACCAATTTTTTTCCCCTCGGGTTTTCCGCGTTTAATGTGGTCCATAGAGCAGGTTTTTGTGACAATGCTACGGCCTTCCGAATGGGCTCCAACAGGGTTTTTGGTGTTTTTTTGTCTAAATTTTAGCTTTGGATTTTGGAGCGTGTTTGTGTTTAATGAAGGAGATACGAAGTCCGATTGCAGTTTTAGTTGTAAAAATTTGGCAAGAGGTTTTGGATTAACAGGATCGATTGCCAGGGGGTGAGTTGACAGGTTCGGTTATGTTTTGAGGTTTTGCGCGTTTTAATTGCGAAGTGCAACCATTTTGGTGTCTCGTGTTGTTTGGATTGGTCGAAATTGCGGCATTTTTTGTTTTTGTTTTTGTTTTTGTTTTTTTGTGTGAGTGTGTGTGTGGTGAGGAAATTGCTTTGTTGAAATTTGTAGTGTTGACTTTTGAGAAAAGGATGCATGGTTTAGATTTAAATATTCACAGCTGTATGTTTTAGTGACGATTAGGTAGTTGTACCGAGCTCACGATCTCCTTTTTATGTTGATCTTGTGGTTTCACTTCAACAATATTAGTGTATTGTTGTGGTATGCTGCAAACTTTTGACCACATCATTACACCTGTAATCGTCCAGTAGGGTGAGGTAGACACAGTTCTGCTTTAGTTTCCCTTCCTTTTAGGAATTGGTACTGCATGTTAATTCGAGAAAATGTAATGTTGCGTATGAATTGGAATCTTTCGAGGTAATGGTTGGACATACTTTTATGAACTGTGCTGGTTTGTAATATGCCCGTCTTGAATGATACTACCACCTTGTGCTTCAGTATGCGAGGCTGGTAGTTGAGCTCACGAATGTATACTTAAGGCCGCATTTGTGATCAATCCGCAACAATATATCTATCGAAGATTGGAGAGGAGTTCGAGCAATCTGGAGGAGAGCAGTTTGTCCGACATGTTGCAGCTCCCAGCGACGGAGGCAGCCGCGTGGGTACCTGGATCCCCATTCAGGTTGCCTCCACCATCCCCTGCATCATCTGACTTCCCATTTTTGGGAGAAGCTGTGATTCCATTGGTTAATAAGCTCCAAGATATATTCTCCCAGCTGGGCAGCTCTTCCAATATTGATTTGCCCCAAGTAAGCATGCTTGTTCCTGTATGTGTTGAACAATGGTTGTTCACTCATCTATTTCTCGTAATTGAAGTATTTGGGTGAGGTGATCGTAAATGATGCCACAATCTCTCTTGCGTTACGAATTATGATGGAAGTGAAGGGGCTTATAGAATTTTTTTGCAAATCTTTGAAAACACCAACAACCTTTAGCTGCTTTTTCGTAATCTGGAAACCCCAAGCGTTGAGAGTTTGGCTTGATACGCTAGCTGTCTCAAAACTTATTTAACATTTGCGAGTATCACTCCTGCAAGAGATGGCGTTCCCCAGATCTTGTCTTCAATTATGTGAAGAGTGATACAATTTGCAGGTAGCAGTAGTTGGGAGCCAGAGCAGCGGAAAATCTAGTGTGTTGGAGGCACTTGTAGGACGCGACTTTTTGCCAAGAGGTTCAGACATATGCACTCGACGGCCTCTCGTCTTACAGCTGGTGCAGACCTCACGGAGGCCTGAGGATCGGACTGAATTGTTGGAATGGGGCGAATTTCTTCATGTTCCTGGTCGACGATTCACGGATTTTGGAGCAATCCGTAAAGAGATTCAGGTGCAGTTTAAGTAATATCATTTCTCACTTTGTGGGCTGTGTGTGTCATCACTTCTATTTTTGATGATTATTTCTTCTGTTGCACATATCATGTGCTGAAGAAAGACCAAACAAGTTAGGTAAGTTCAGTCTTGGTCTTTTAAACGAGGTTCCACGTCTCGGGTTGCAGGCTGAGACTGATAGGGAGCTTGGGACGAATAAGGGAATTTCTGAGAAGCAAATCCGCTTGAAGATATTTTCTCCGAATGTTTTAAATATAACACTAGTGGATCTTCCTGGAATTACCAAGGTGCCTGTTGGTGATCAACCCACTGATATTGAAGCCCGCATACGGACCATGATATTGACCTATATTAAGCATGAAACTTGCATCATTTTGGCAGTCTCTCCAGCAAATGCCGATCTAGCAAATTCAGATGCGTTGCAAATGGCACGCATTGCTGATCCTGATGGTCTGTTCGCTGTCACCTTATTCTCTTTTGAGTTCTAATGCCCGCTCATTGATATAAGTTGCGTGCCATCAAGTGGTGGCAGTGCATGTTGTACAACGTTCAATAGTGTGAACGAAGATTCGGCAAGAAGTTGATGTTGTAAGGCACCAGGTGAACGCATTATATGTTTGCCTCAGGGCTTGGGAAACAAATCGGTTCCTGGTCAATCTTTACAGGTTATTCTGTTGTAGATAGGGAGGTAGATATTTGTCTGTTGTTTCACTAATATACATTTTATTTGATTTTCACATTCAGGATCTCGAACCATTGGGGTGATCACCAAGGTTTCTTTTTTCGCCTTTCTGCTTTTACTTCTATGATGACGTTTGTTTTACCTTCATACATCCAAAAATGATAACTAAATTTTTGTTTTGATTCTGTGCGTTTGAAGTTGATCTCTTCGCTGGGTTTTAGCTGCATCCAATTTTTTGCCTGGAGTACTTTGATTTTGAATATTTTAATTGTTTGTCGTTCAGTTGGATATTATGGATAGAGGAACCGATGCACGTAATTTTCTTCTAGGGAATGTCATTCCATTACGACTTGGCTATATCGGGGTTGTAAACAGGTGCCAAGAGGTACTTCTACTTGCCGGTTGATTGCCGATCAATCAGCGTATACTTCTGACTGCAAATGCTAAGATTGTAGAGAAGATTCAGAGCTGCGTTTACTTCGATGGCATAGCAGTTTTTGAGCTCGTTGTCTGATGTTTCGTGGTGACGAAATGCTATCAACTGTCACACTTTTATATCACTTTTTTCTACTTGTTTTTCTTCTTGCAGGATATTATTGCAAAGAAGTCCATCCGGGATGCGCTGACGTACGAAGAAAGCTTTTTCAGGAGCAAGCCTGTCAGTAGATCCTAATTTTCTTATATCTGTGCCACAACCTGACAAGTTGAATCGGGAGAATGAGTGGAGTTCGTCTTTTCTGTTGAAATGACGATAGTTCGTCTTGCTATGCAGAATTTAAATAGTTCATTATTCCTAATGGTTTTGCTTTCATGTTTTTTCATTGTTGAGATGTTTTGATAGTTAATTATAATACGCAGATTCATAACAAAATCTTAAACTTTGCATTGATTGTTTCCTGAAGATTTCAATATTATTTTATTCTGTTTTAGGCAGCGCTTAACAATAACGAATGGCATTGTCTCACAGGGTTACAGGGTCTTGGTAATCTTTGGATATTGAGTCTCTAACACATGGGTTGTTCACAGGTATATCATAATCTGGCTGACAGATGTGGCATTCCTCAGCTGGCGATTAGATTAAATACGGTATTATCTTGTAGCCTAGTATTATTGAGATGACATTTGGGTGATATGTATCTCTGGTGAGATTGACAGTTGTTGTTGCTTGCCCAGCTACTCTTTAGCATAGTGATGTACTGGCCAATTACCATATGGCTTCAAGCATCATTCCAAGCTATCTTATTATTTCTTTTGGATGTGAAACGAAGAACAAATTTTTTGTACAACTGATTCTTTAATCCTTTTATTTTTATTTTTTATAGTTGTCCAGAGCTCAATATTTGTAATGCGTTTGTCTTCAGTTTGCGTGGTTGTTGCTGATGGGTCTTTTTGTATGAATTTTAGTGTAAGCTCAGTTTGAGTTATGTGCCTGGTTGTGAAGAGTTGAGTCATGATTTTCTACTAGGCTTGAAGTCTTTAATTTATCTACTGTGGTTGACAGATTTTGGTGCAACACATAAAAGCGATACTTCCAGATTTGAAAGCGCGCATTGGCATTCAGTTGGTTACTCTTCAGAAAGAGCTTGCTAGTTATGGGGAAATCACTGAATCCAAGGTATGTTTGAACCAGTTTTTGAAAAATAATTTAGGGAAGTATTATTCCTCTAACCTGCGGAAGATAAATCTTTTTGATTTCATGTACTCTTTGTAGCAGTTCGCTGAACAGGTTTGTGCTGTATTATCTCGTGATCCGTACATTGTTTCTAAATATTGTATACTTTTTGACTTCGATGTCCTTGTACGTTCTTGTAGGTTCTTTTACGTGAAAATTTGTAATTCTAGATCGAAATCTGACCAGAGAGATGTTGTGTCGATGTGATCTGCAGTCAGGGCTTGGGGCGTTGCTGCTGAACATTCTCACAAAGTATTCTCAAGGTATATTCATTTACTTGTGTGTTAAGCGTCTGCACTCTTGGCATTCTTAATATCACGTCGTGGTGGATGATAATGTTTCCGAAGGTGACTTCAATAAATCAATATTTATACAAGAGAATTTAGAAAGCACTTGTCTTTAATATAGACTTCGTTCCCTTAAAAGGGTATCAAATTGTTAGATTCACTTGCGGTTTTGATTTCAGGATTTCAATCTGTTGTTGATGGAAAGAACGAAGAGATGTCAACTACAGAACTTTCCGGAGGAGCCCGTATCCATTATATTTTTCAATCTATTTTTGTGAGAAGTTTGGAGGTAATCATATTTGAGGATGACTTTTCACGTGAAGTTGGTGAGTTCTTGGCTGCTTATTTAGATGATTTGTTTAAATGTCCACGTGGCATTTATGAGATCTTTACTTATGAATTCTTTTGCAAAAACAGTGACTGTTTGACTGTTTGACTGTTCGTTGACATAGGAAGTAGATCCATGCGATGATTTAAACAACGATGATATACGAACAGCTATACAAAATGCTACCGGGCCCAAGAATGTACTTTTTGTACCCGAGGTATGACTACCTGCACCATGTGCTGTATGCGTCCTAGCAAACGAGGTTAGTAAAAGCTATGTCTACTTCCAGTTGTATATCTAGTTTTCTCAGTTAGTTTATGTACAACGCGGGTTTTAAGGGATGCATTTTTGAAGCTTTGTGGTGAAGCCTGTGTAGGAAATGTGAAAACTTCCTATTAAGTCGTTGATCCTAGTTTGTGTTGAGCTTGTACGTACACGTTTCGTGAGGGTTTTTGTACCAAGAACACAGTTTAGCAAGATCCACTGCGCTGAAAGCGTACAAAGATCCTCAAGGATTGGTCAGGGAGTGTATCAGAACAGCAAATTTGTTCCTAACTTGGCTGCTGCTTGGCTTTTGTAGGTACCCTTCGAGTTGCTAGTGCGCCGACAGATTGCTCGATTATTGGAGCCTAGTCTACAGTGTGCTCGCTTCATTTACGACGAACTTGTGAAGGTAATGTTCGCAGACTTTTCTTGTTATCACTCACATTCTTGTGTGACTGATCGTCCTCGTTCAAATTGATTAATATATTTTTTTTGTTAAGGGAGAATAACTAATTTCAGGATTTTCCCGTATTAGTTTCCTTTACACGGTAGTTTTTGTACTACACAAAGAACGTCTCTTTCACACCTCATGTGCACATTGGTACGTGCTTATTTTTTGTTACTAGTTGTGTTTGACTGCTCTAGATATAGATATTCTGTTTTCTACTTAATGCCTTGTGGATGTATGTGTGTATGAAATATTCAGATTTCTCACAGGTGTGAAACACTTGAGCTGCAACGGTTTCCGCACTTGCGAAGGCGCATAGAGGAAGTGGTAGCAAGTTTCCTGCGTGAGGGTTTATCCCCTGCAGAAACCATGATTGGCCATCTCATTGAAATGGAGGTAATTTTAAATCCAATGTTGAGCCTATGTTGTGTCTGTTGCTAGTGTTTTTGTGTTAATTGTCAACTTTCTGGCCGTAATTCAAAACTTGTCTGGCAGATGGATTACATCAACACATCACATCCTGCTTTTATAGGTGGAAGCAAGGCTGTGGAGATGGCTTTGAATCAGCAAAGGCATGCCAAGACGCTGGCTTCTAAGGTTGCCCTTTTGATCCTCATAGTGTTTACAACTATGTTATTTCACTGTTTGGCCAAATGCATCCCAGTGACACAAAAATAAGTTCTATTGTGATATTTCATTTTTTTGTAACAAGCAACGGAACAGTGTGTATGTCTAAATTCTGGTATGTGCAGGATGTACAGGATTTAGAGCGTCCCTCTTCTTTGCCAGAAAAGCAAGCAAAGGCACGTGCAATTTTGGCTCGAACTAGTGCCGCATCTCTTACTGCCCATGAACAGGTAGATGATTGTATCTCAATTTTGAATTGTGGTAGATCCTTCTTATCTATACAAGTTGGTTCTTAATGGTACGATATTTGTTATATTTGATTTACAGGCTGCACCGAGAGTTTCAGCTGCAGCTCCAGAGAAGGCCACTACTTCCAGTGAGTTTTCGTATACCAAAAAAGGTCTCTTACATCTCGATTGTGTGGAGTTCTTGATTTGTTCGCAGCATGCTTGAAATGCGAGTCCATTTATCATGCTTGAAAATGGAAAGGCAGGTTTGCTATTCGTTGCCATGTCGTTTTACCCTTAGATTGAGAAGCTTCCAATTTCAACTCGCTGTTGTTATTCGTTTCTTGTCGAAGCAAGTCATTATGTTGTAACAATTTTTACGCTTATATGTTCAGGTAGTTCTTCGTCTGGAAGTTCCTGGGGCATATCCTCCATATTCTCCTCCAGTGAAGTTCGTCAATCTGCGAATGGCAGCAGCAAGGAGCATGTACCTGCTCGAAGCTACGCTGAACCTGTACAAGCACCATTAGAATCTTCTTTTTCAAGCATTCAATTGCGAGAGGTTGACACCTATACCTTGCACGTGCAAATGTCTTTGAGCTCTAGCAATTTTATGTTGTTGTCATAATGGAATTGTAGACTAGTCATCTGTACGGAGGTTGATATTCCCTTACATGGCAAGTAAACTACTGGCATAAAATGGACTGGTTCTGTGTAGAAACATGTCGTATTGTGGAGTTGTAACGTAGTTGTGAATGGGTAACAGCCACCAGCCACTCTTAGAGCGAGTGATGCTCAAGGCGAGCAGGAGACTCTGGAAATTGCTGTGACTCGATTGCTACTTAAGTCCTACTATGACATTGTGCGGAAGAATATTCAAGACTTAGTACCGAAAGCTATCATGCATTTCCTGGTTTGTAGTTTTCTCACTTATATCTTGCTGAAGATGTTGCTTCAATTCATTGGACTTACTGTCATAGGTTTACTAGGAGGCAGCAATACATTTGTTGGTCTATGAATAAGTTTACATGTTTCCTTGGTCGAATTTTCAACCTGATGACTGTTTTCTTGATATAACAGGTCAACCACGTGAAAAGGGAACTTCATACTGTATTTATCAGAAAGTTGTACAGGTGATTTAAAATTTTGGGATTCATTTTGAATTTTCTTTTGTGTATGGCCATGTTTGATGATTTCTACTTGGTGTAGTGTTCGTTGGAATATTTTGTGCCTTCTTACATCAAGGATTGTTATGTTGATATCCTTTAGGGAGAATTTGTTTGAGGAGATGCTTCAAGAAAAGGAAGATATAGCCGTTAAGAGAAAGCGTTGTAAAGAAATTCTGCGAGTTTTACAGCAAGCTGCTTGGGTATTAAATTTTCTTCCTTCTGCTAATATCTTGGGGACTATTTTATTTACTCTATAATGGGTTTTCCTAAATCTCGGATACACCAAGTTTAGAGCCGAAGATGTACCTTAACTTTTACAATTCTGAAGTCCTAAATTTCTAATCTCTTAGAATGTTGTACGTGAGGTCTTGTCTTAGTTCTTGTTGCCTGTTGCTTGTCTTTTCTGTATAGTCTAGCTTTTTACTGTAATGGATGTCTTCGTAGTTTGTTCAGAAGTTTATTTCTATTTTTGTCTTTTTTGAAGAGAATATGGAGCTTTATAGGTTTCGAATCAGTAGTAATTTTCTTCAAGGTTGATATTTTATTGAAATGAGATAAAAACCTTATGGGTCGCACATGTGGGATGGTCAGTAAGCCATGAATGAGGGATTAATACCGCTTTGGTTGCAGGAATTGGACACCAATTTTTATTGACTTTGGGAGTTGATGCCACAATTTTTCTATAGAATAGGTTTTTCAAGTAATAAACGTAGCTTAGATCATGATTTATCAGATTTTTGATGACGATGTTGTTTGAATGGCGCCATTCAGACCCTGCTTATTTAGACCCTATTCTATTTAAATTAGCTGTTTGGAGTCCACTTCAATCAGACAGTCTTGTCACTAAATTTCTATTTAAAATGGCAGGGCTTTTTAGTGAGCCTGATGTTTTGGTTTGTCTGCAAATGATGTTTCGAGATTTTATCACCGATTGAATTGGTTTGAAGTATTTTGACGGAACTTTACATGTAAGCATTTTAACTCATGACTCTGGAGCATGTTTAATGATATGATGAATGAGACATTCGGCAAGATGTGAGTTTTGGATGTTCACGGATATGTGGCCAGTCTTTGTAAGATCTTCCATTTGAGTTGGAGTCAGCATCTGCCTCAACCTTCGATTGAACAGGTTACCCACTCCTGCCACAAGAGGTGGTGCAAAAGCTCCAGCATTGTACACTCTTATTGAAGTTGATTATGCCGGAGCATAATTAGTTTCAGGGTTCTCTAGTTCACCAAGATATTCAGAATCCAGGAGGTCCGCTTACATTGCACATTCTTCAGCTCCAAATGTAGGTACGCCCTAAACTCAATTGCTTTGTCTTCTGATAATACACATGCCTAAAAGACGGATCGTTTTGGAAGCTTTAAAAGGCGTTCATAATTTTTCATAAATCAGGAAACTGAGGTCGCATCATCTTATATTAAAGAATTTGTTCTCTTATATGTTACTTCATTTACATTTATTTCGATTTCAGCGTGAAGACTACAGAAGGGACTTAATATCATTAGGTTTTCAATATATTATTAGGCACCATGAGCATGTCGAGTCCTCTCTGTGTTGGTACAAGATTTTAGGATGATTTTCATTTGAAATATGTTTTAGATAATATAAAGGTTTTATTAATTATTATTAAAATAGAAAGTATGCAATTATATCTATAACAGTAAATATGTATATAGAACCCAATTGCGCATATTTTGTCAGGGCCCAGATTTTTTATAATTTTAAATGACAATATGTGAACTACAATTGTTGGTTTGATCGAAGTACTTCATGTAACAAATATTAGAAAAAAAAAAGAAAAAAAAAAGAGAAAAATATACATTAAAGATCCAGAACTATTTCATAGTTTTACGTTTCATCAGCTCTTTGACTCCATACATGAATGAATTTTAGGTGCAAAACTTAAAATATACTGAAACAAATCAAGTTGAGAGCTACTTCGATGTAAATTAGAATCATAATGTTAGAATGTCTATTTACAAATGATAATGCATAGGCACTACTGCCATAGAAAGGTAGATGTTGATATATTACTCTTCATTCTTGTTTTGATATACAATAATTTTATGATTTTATAATCGTACATAATATCTAAGCTTTCTTAAACTCCAATTTCAGTACATTAATGTAATTCACACATCATGTCCTTAACAGTAAATCTTCTTTTGTTATTTTCATGTTATTATTGTGTGTTGAGCATTAAGATTGAAGGTCTTTTGAAGGTAGTGGAATAATAGGGAGTTGTTAATGGGTTAGAAATTCTACTAAAGCCTAACGACTTTGTATAATTAATGCATAGAATTTGAAGTATATTAAAACATTCTTTGAATTGCTTTTGTATTGTGATAGTAAACAATTGATGGCTTTGAACAAGTTACCTAATTTTAATATTATTTGAGATAGACCTAAGCAGCTATATGAAGAATCAAGTAAAGCCTTATAAGTTAATTTTTATAGACATTTTTGTTATTAAAACACAAAAAAACATAAAAGTATTTATCAAACAACAAAATATTAGCAATTTTTTGTTACATTAGTTGCTAGTTGTATTTTTAACAAAACATAATAAGTAAATTTATTAACAACACTTCTAAATTTTTGAAGTACATTTTACACCACGCAAGGTAGAATTGAAAGTTTAACTTTTTAGAATAATTATTACATATTTTATAATAAGTTACATTTTAATATTCTAAATTAAAAAACTTAAAAAAGAATGCATTTAATGTGAAGGAAATTTTTATTAAACACTTAGAATCATAAAACAATTATTGATTGAATAAAGCCTTTACAACAATATAACATACAAGAGCTATATTTAACAATTTAATCATATAAACTCTACAAATTCTTACATGTCATCATTGTGGTAAACTAAGTTCTTTTGTTTTTACATTAACAATTGATAAAGTGGAGAATTTGTATATCCTTGGCAAAGTCATCTTATCTTCTTTGGAATTAAGCTAGACCATATGCATTGTAGAAGTGTTGACTTTTTATATACCAACATGCTTGCTATGTACAATCAATAGTTGAATTTCTTAAAATTGGAAAGAACATCCTTTTAAATGTCAGATCTTATTTCTTTAAAGTGGTGCTGAAGATTCAAATCTACAACTTTTGATTGATATATCTTTTAAATGGATATATTAAAAGATGGCTATTTGTAAATCATGATCAAAATTATATCCTAAGGGAGAAAACCAAGGACCTACTGGAAATGGAGTTTTTTTTTAGAGTATCATTGGATAAAATTAATTAGTCAATTTAAGAAAAATTATAAAATTATATAAAAAACATGATTATGACTCTAAAAAAGACCTTCAATAAGACAATAAATATTAGGATATGTAAGAAACAAAGTTTTTAAGTGTATTAAAGAATATTATGAATTTTTAATAGAATATCGTACTTTTCCATTGAGTTACAGTTAAATTTATGTAATTGTATAAGTGTCCAACTAAAAAGTGTGATTTAAAGTTTTATGTTATTTCAATGATGACATTAGGAGATTTTCTAAAATTCATTATAAAAATAGTGATCTTTTGATATATCCCTTATGATATAATTCTGATCATGATTCACAAATGGTCATCTTTTGGTATATCTTTTAAAAGAAATACAAATGTGTTGAAGATTAAGTTCTATACAAGTCCATCGTTTATAAGAAGTAAAATTTAAAAGTAAAAAATAATGAGATATATTTTAAAGACAAAAAGTAACAAAGCTCAATTCCTTCTAATAATAGTTGTAGAGATTGGCAATATGGAGCATAGTTATATGCTGAATTTAACAATAAATAAATATGTAAATAAATAAATATAGGAAGTTGTTAAAGCTATATCTCCAAACCATGTGATGATTAATTTTGGGGAATAGGAAACAAGAGAGGATGATATAGAAAAATGCATTGGAATTGGAAATGAGAGACGAGGGACATAGAACAAAGGACAAAGTCATGGATGGATGAAATTGATCATGAAATGGTAATATGGGATGTAGCTTTAAAAACTCTATAACTTCTTTTAAATTAATAAATTAAACTATATTAAAAAAATATTTATCAAGAAAAAAATAGAAAAAAAAGGAATAGTCGTTAGGCCACAAATTCAAAATCAATTAAAGCTTGAAGTAATAGTACACAAGTGATGTAAGACAAAAGAAATGTATTTTAATTTTTTTAGAAATAGAACTTGAATTTAATAGTTTAATGGCATTCCGAGGTTTTTTCTATTGAAGTTTATAAATTATATTTTAAAAAAATTTAATTACTATATAAAAAATAGCAATAAAAAATTGAAATCAAAATTTAGAAGTTTAAGAATGATTTAATATATATATATATATATATATATATATAGAATCAAAATAACTAAAAAATAAAAATTAATAAATTTCTATTAAGATATTGAATTTCATTATGGAAGCTATATAATATAACTGTATAACTTACAAATGTGTATGGTCTTCAAAAATATACTATCAATCAAGTCATTTATCAATGTTTATTATGTATATATATACATAAATATATGTATGTATATTTTTTCAAACTGAGTCATACAATAACTTGGCAAGCTATTACAACTATGTATTGAATATTAGAAAATATAATAATTATATGATATCAAATATTTACATAATTTTCTCTCTTATTCCTTGTAATAGTTATGCACAGATGATAAGTTATCAGAATTTTCGCTTGAAATGATATTTTATACTAGGTGTGTATATACAAACAAATTAAATCTTTTTATGAGCGTCACATTTTTACAGAAAGAAAACATTAGAAATTACATTCAGAGCGCATGAAGCTCAAACACAAGGACCAAAAGATTGAAGAAGGTTTGCACCAATTGCTGAAGTAAAAATACGTACTTTAACAATATTCAAAATTATCATTAATCAAATTTTAACATTATAAGTTTAAAAATGATAATGAAGAAAACCAAATTGGTTTTTATGATTTTGTTATGAAATTTTGATGAAACATGATAAAACTTCTTATCTTGTATATATATTTATATTGGATCTTGGTGCAACCAGTGTAGCATCTTATATTGCATAAATATTTACAACCTTAGTTTTAATTCCTTAACTATCTTCACTAAACAATATTATTTAGTGTTCTAAAACATCAAGCAATGTTCATGACATTTTGTTTCGCCATGCCGTGTTGATACTAACTAATCAATTATTCATTTATTATAAAAACTGAAATAAAGTTTGAGTTTTTACCGAATCAATCCAATAAATTATATGCATATAATGAAACCATTTGTATGTACACACAGGTCACTGAATGCCAGAACAACTGGAATATTATTTCACAAATTATTTCTCAGGATCCAATCAACACAGGATAGTTTGAAACCATGTTAACACTAGTATTGAAGCTTCTATTCCATGAACATTGACACATTTATATTCTCCAAAGCATTTGATATTTAAATCAATGCAGAATTGAATCAATTGAGAGAACTATGCTCTGATACTTCACAAGCGCACAAAACGAGTCATCGAAACACTACTAAATATACAGAAAAAACAGCATCTTTGTTAAGTACAGCAACCTGAAAATCTTACATGATTTCAGGATTACGGAAGAAAGTTAATCACACAATAATAGCACCCTCTATACAAAACCAAGCTTCTTGGCCAAGTTGCTGACTCTAGTCTGCCGGCTCAGTTCACAAGGTCTCATGAGAATGCTCTGATGACGCACAGTCAACTATTGTAGTGATGCAGTTGATGCGAGGGAGGACAAACACGATTCGGTCGGCATGTATGTCAGCAACTGTTAGATTGAATTTCTACTAGAAACTGTGGCTGCTCTACCAATCATGCAATGGGTGGCATCGACCTTGCGGGTGTCGGAATCGCTGAAGAATCTCGTGATGCCGCATAGTTCTAGACACCTGGTGACCATTCCCGGCTGCGGTGTCTCCAACACACTCTATTCAGA